AAGCCTCAGCAAGAGCTCCCAACCCCAAGGGAGAAGGGGGAGAAAGCAGTTCTGGCATCTCACTAAGTGTCCTGGCCAGTGTCGCTGCCTGTACACTGCTGGGGGTGCTTATTCAGGACATACCCCACAGAAATGCCCCCAGGAGATGTTACTTGCCCAGGGATGCCACCAAACAGGGGGAAGGGACTGCTGGTTGCAATCAGTGTAGGTGCAGTGAATCATCCCGCTACCCTGGCAAGGGGTGCATGGGCAACTGGGGTCCAGGTCTCTGACCTGCCACAGCTCTCCTGTGGGAAGATTTATACCCTTCCCAAAGGAGGAGACAAGGGCAGTAGGCAGCCCACCTCATCCTCATGAGTGGAAAACCAACAATCCTGCTTGTACAAGAAACATCCAAAGGTTTCCAAGCTTGTCTGAAAGATTTTGGGGGTGGGGATATTATTACATTTTAGTCCTCAGCAGCATGGCCAACCAGATATCCATGGCCAACCAGATATCCATCTTCCACCTCCACTGTGTCTGACCTCAGGATAAGCAGTGGCTGCATCTGCTCATTCAGGATGACTAAAGCAGATGGTCTGGGGTTTGATCCAGCTTTTCCCAGCCCAGAACTGCACCCACACCATGTTCCTCTTCCAGAGAAAGGGTCTGGGGGTTGATTTTTCCAGCACATCTAACCTCAAATAAAGGGCAGTCACTGCAGTAACACTCGTGAAAATCCACCCTCTTTTATACCAGTACAACATCACTATACAGGCAAGTTCATGTTTTTATCTGGAGCGTGGCCATCCCACCCTGGGAAGTTACACCCCATTGCTTCACAGAGACTCTGGGAAGATGAAACATTACATCAACATCTCATCTGATGGGGTAGAGAGGGACAGAGATAGCCCTCATTTAAGGTGCCCAGCAGCAGTTCTCTGATCAGCAGGTGCAGGGAAATAGGAACCTTGATGTTCAGTGTTCCCCTCATGCTTCAATACCCGGCTTCAGCAGCTGAAAATGCTCTTGAATTGACAATGCTGACACTGGGAAAGAAGCCAAGGAGTGTGGGAAAGTGCCCAGATTCTCCCTCTCCATGTGCAGGAAGAATTTGGGCACTTCATAACCATTACAGTCCTGGGTAAGTTACTTTAGGTTAGAAATGACCAAGCCTTGGAATAAAGGGAAGACAGGAAATAAACCCCTGTATATTTGTCTGTTGACCAAAAAAACATCCATCAAAAGCTCAGCAGGATTGATGGAGCCACTGCCCATAGACAGAAAGCATTAAGGAAAACACCTCGCAATATACACCCTGCTTGAACACCAGCTTGGGCTGATGTGTCTGCCACAGACTCAAACCCTTCAGATCGAGATGGCAGTGGCTGCATTTCACATGACACTTAGGAAGTGAAGCTTGTAACAGCTACCATATATACACATATATGAAACCATAGTCACTTCCTGCAGGCTACTGGAGGGTCAGATAATGGGAAAGGCTTTTGAGCACCAGGTTTTCTCAGCTCCCACCACCACCAGTCACGTCTTACATCTGTCTACAAGACTGGGGAGTGCTGGCCATGGGTGTTGAGTAACCTCCACTTACCACTGGGCTGAACTGGTCCCTCTGGGGAAGTGGTGAGCGGTAGAGAGGACAACGCAGCATTAAAGCATCCTCTCTACATGCACAGGGAGAAAAAGAGTCTGGGGAAATCTGGTCTAGGCAGGGTGCACTCAATGTGGGCAGGTCAGGGCCAGCCTGTTAATAGCCAGCAAGCTCCTACCTGAGAGCTTGCTTTGGAGAAGGAAATCAGGAGGAGCTTATGTCATACTAAGCTAGAAGTGTCTACATGCAGGACTGAAGGCAGAGGCTTGTGACAGGAGGCCAAGTGACTCAGTTGTGGTGGGTGGGGGCAACAAGAGAGAAGGGGATGTGGTTAGGGAACAGGCTATGAGTCACCAAGGAAGCACATATGTTGATAACAGCTGGATAAACTCAAAGCAGAGACATAAGGTCTGCTCAGAAGAACATCCAAGCTATACTGGAAGCCAAAACCTGGAGACAGCAATCCCAAGGGTGAATGCAACAGAGAGTTCTAAGTGCCTGCCACAGCTTTTTCCAGCTTTGCAGCTCATCAAGGGTTGCAGGATGAACATTTATCTTATATGTGACAGCACCTCAGCACCCTCAGAGGGAAGAGCTTCTGCCTTGTCTCCAGTCTGAGCTTCCCCTGTTTCAGTTTGAACCCATCATCCCTTGTTCTGTCACTCCAGTCCCTGATGAAGAGCCCCAGTATCCTTGTAGCACCCTTCAAACACTGGAAACTGCTCTGAGGTCTCCACGCAGCTTCTCTTCTCCAGGCTGAACAGCCCCAATGTTCTCAGCCTGTCTCCATACGGGAGGTGCTCCAGCCCCTGCTCATCCTCATGGCCTCCTCTGGACTTGCTCCAACAGCTCCATGTCCTTCTTATGGACACCAGAACTGCACAGTGCTGCAAGAGCAGGGTGAAGGGGCAGGATCACCACCTGCTGGTCACTCGTCATTTGATGCAGCCCAGGATATGGTTGCATGGGATTGAGACTTCCCATCCTAATCCCTGCTCTCCCACACATGCTGTCTAGTTTGCAGGTCCCCCTGCCCAGGTCTAAAATGTCCCTGAAAACCTCCTTGGGAGCACAGTCAGCTTCAGCTTGCCCGTTCAGTTGGATCTGCCTTCTTTTCATGCTTTCCCAGCAACTATTTAGGAGGCATGTGCTCATTCCTTTGTCCACTTTGAAACCAGAGAGGATTGCTGTTGACTCACAAGAAATGTGTCACAGTCACATGCCTGCTTCTTTGCATCCATCACTGCTGTGGCACTTCCCTTTCGGTGGGGAAATGGGAGAGAAGCAGCGTCAATTTGGCACAGGAAACTCAGCTTTGGTGTGTTCCTGAAACCTCAATTCAGTTTTAAGTCAAAGAGTCTCCATGACTCTGAAGAACAGGCACATAAACACTACATAACAGGGGTGAATTCCTTTCTGTCAAGCCTAATATTTGCCAACATGTGCTGTAAATGCATATTTTATGTCAACAACCCTTGTGGAACAAAGAGATTTATGTGACCACCTTTGAACTGAACACTATCTGGTAAATGCATGCTGCAAAGAACAGGTCCTCCCTCCAACTGCTCAGAAGCAACAGGAACTACAATTCCACTTTGTGAGCTCTCAGTGGGTTAGTTTACCAAGAAAAGCCTTTCTTTACAAATTCATTAGCTAGTGCCTGCCCATAGGGATTATAGAAACACATCAAGGATGCCTTTCCTTGCCAGTATTAACCTTGGTTGCTGCAGGGAGGTATAGGCCCTAAACACAATGAGCTCCGAAAATGTGCCAAAGCGTAAGGCAGTTCAGATGTCTTCTTCCAGGCCAGATCAGCCTCCCGGGAAAGCCAGGATGTGTTCACTATCTTCTGCTAGGTCCAAAGAGCTCATTGCTTTGCTACAGAAAGTCACCTGCACTCAGAGCTTGGCATCAAGAGTGAGCCCTATGCCAGGGCATGTCCTGGCTGGGTTCAGGAAACCCCACAGGGCAGAGGGACCTGTGAAGCTGTAAGTACACCATTCCCAAGCAGGCAGCTTGCTGAGAGTGCACTTCTTAGCCTGTTCCTATCCACTCTCTCCCAAAGGCAAAGACTACTGCTGCTGAGCAGCCCCAAGCCTAAACCTCCTACAGAGAGCAATACAACCAGTGCAGTGATGGTGGGGCATTACACCTCAAAGGTGCTTACTTCTGGCACCCAGAGCATTCACATTAACTTAGATGGGCTAATTACTGCAGTATCACAGTCTCCACAAATCAAGTAGGATCATTTCCTTGCCTAGATAACCTTAATGATGCTCCTGTGTGGCAAGCTGGGAAGGCAGCTAAGAGAGAACTTATAGGTTTAAAGGGCCTGGAAATGGAGCCAGCTAAGATGGTTAGAGGAGATAGAAGTGCATGCAGACAAGTGCACGCATGCAGGCACAAATGTCACACTGGTAAAGTGAAACCATCAGGATGCAATCTTCTCTTTCTTGCCAGGCTACAGTCTGCTTTATGTATTTCTTTACACTAGGACTGTAGTTTTCCTGGGTGGGAATAGCTGTACACAGGTACATCACTTTCATGGCATCAGTGATGTCCTCACTAGGATGAAAAGAGACTGCCGAATTTCCGGCCCATGCCTGCTTCATACCCAGCCCATGTTCTCCAGTCTTATGGCACAGTGTCCTCATGTCCTGACCTTTTCAAAGGGAGCAAACGAGAGGCAAAACTGTAGCCATAAGATACAGGGGGCAGAACTATACCCACACTCAGTGTTGTATTTCCACAAGCCCACTGTTTAGCATCCCACTGTAGGACAGGCTCTCTACTGCCTGCTCCTCTACACCACTTCTGGCACTTTCCCCTTTCTGAGATATAAGGAACATGCTGGACAAGGTCTAATCAAAGCCTCATATGGAGGCAGCAGTATTTCCCTCTCTGCTAAATACATCTCTTAGGCTTGCACTAGCAGCATCCGCCTGTGTCTATAGTCATCCTGCAATTAGTTACTACCCCATTTCCTCTTCATCTGGTAATTCACATGGATGAGAGTGTAGCGAATGGAAGAAGTCTTATTAATAGCTCCAAACACAGCACCTGCATTAGATCTCACACTGCTGCTTCTAACAGTCTCCAAGGTCAGTCCATCCTTCCTGTGGGACATCCACGTCCCCTTCCACCTTGGCAATGCTCTCAACTGTCTCATCTGCAGAAGTGCTCCATACATTCCTCCTATATGTATCCTATTGACTCTTTCCTCCTGTTTCCCATCCACTTGGAAGTTCTAGAGCAGGGCTCAGGTTTGCTCACTTCATTAGAAATAAGAAATCACATATCAGTTAGAGGTGATAAGTTATCTGAGCTTCATCTGTTCAAGCTTGCAGGATCACTTAGACATTCAGCTGCGTTATTCACATGAGCACTCACTCAGAACACTGTCATAGGTTACCTTGACCCAAATCAGTCCTTCCATCTAACGAGTCCTGCTGGCAGGTTAGAGGAGCTGGATACATGTTTTGAACAGGACATCTGTCCATGGCTTAGGTTGTGGAGGTGGTGGAAACACCTCTGTGGACATGGCTGTGTAGGAGTCAGCAACACTTCTAGATTTGGGGAAGAAAATTCTACATTAATGAGCTCTTTGCTTTTAAAAGCCGGGTCTATAAATGGAAAAGAATTAATGGGTCCCATTCCTTTGGCACAGATGCCCAGTGATGCGTGCTTGTGTAAAGAACATCTCTGGCAGAGCCAATGTCACCTAGTCCAAAATAGAACAGGCCCAAAACTCAGCTAAAAATCAAAGCAAATCTGGCTCAGGCTACTGAGGGCAGTGATGAGCAATAACTGTTTGCTCAGGAAAACTGCTTCCAGGAAAACCAGCCCTGTCTTGCAAGGACATGTGTTTCAGGGAGCAAAGAAGCAGGATCTTGACTGCTTGGAAGTCAACACCACTGACTTCCACAGAGCCAGAATTGCTCACCCCAAGCCCTCCAAGACTAATACAGTGGCATCTAATAGAGAAGTATTTAACCGCAGGTATGTAAGAGTAATACATAATGCAGAACATGGCTAAGCTCTTCAGAATTCACACCATCCTCCCACTGACAGCACAGAGCTGTGCCCCCAACCATGTGAGCACACAGGGCTACTGCAGACATCCCTTGGAAAGGGGGAAGGGATAGAAGCATGACTGGGCATTGCAGGACTGGAAGTTTCACACCAGAGCAAGCAAATGCCAGACCCTCTGTGTTCTTGCCAAGAGAGAAATTCCCAGAAGGAAATGGATGCTGTCACACTACTGTCACCTCAACAGCATCTGTATGTGTCAAAAGGGTCACTGCTGGGTGCTTCCTCATGCGTTACTGCTCCTCTCTGATCACTCACAGCTCTCAGCAGGAGCTGCTAGCCAGAGTGATGCTAACTCAGCATACTGGAGGCAAAAGTGAGATGATGACCCTTTAAAAATGCATACACCACTGTGCATGAACTCTCTGTGACATACACAACTCCTGAGCTCCATGTGAGGCAATGTAGATGAAGGACCAAGAGCACTTTCTGCCTCACACATCCCACAGACTAACAGCACATGCACATCCTACTGCTGTGACTCAGTTACACTCAGTACTCTGTGAAGGTGCAATAAATTGGTTTGCTTCCAAGCTCTTCCTATCTGTGCCTTGGTGTCAGACAACACTGGAAATAATTTCTGGAGACAGGGAAGGAGTTGCCCTAGGCAAATCTAGGTGCATTAAATGGCTGGTGGAGTCACAAGAGAGTCAGAAGGCAAATGAATTAGAAGTCAAGGTTTGATGCCCTTAGCTTTACAGGAAGTTCCACCAACCTGCACTAAGAAAAGACCATGTCTTCTCAGGAAATGATACAGAAGAGTCAGGATGAAGGGGATAGAATCCCCAAAGTCACTATTCCAGGTGCCTCAGAGACAAAGCAACTTCCTCTGCTTTGTATAAGGGTTTTGAAAGTGAAGCAAAATCATTCAAGCACTAAAGCAATGCCCAGGCAAGGATGTTTTCCTGTACCCCTCAGTGTACTACAGGTAGTAGTAAGATCCAGGAGGGCAATTCCAATAGTGCATTGCCAGCCTTGGCAGCTTTCCCTGGGGCTTGATCCAAAGGGGCCATTTGAGTTCAGGACACAAGAGACTGCAGAGATTCTGTATTACAAAGCAGCCACCTCAGCTGGCATGGACTTCTGTAAGTGTTGAAACACACGCTCCCTCCCTGATCCTTTCCAGTATGGAAGGGAATCTACAGGCTCAGCATCTTTGGCTCCCTGAATGAGGCCGCAAGAGGGGCAGGCATGATGCAGTCTGGCAGCTCCAAACTATGCCTGCTGGGGAGCACAGTCAGTGGCTGTGCTCTCTGGAAGAACCCTCTTCCATTGCCTCTTCAAAAGGATAACCCAACATTCCCTATATATTTGCATGAAACCAGTATCCACACAGTGCTTGGGATTAACGTGGCTGATCTCTCCCATCCACCAGCTGTGGGTTTGGAAGCAGGGGAGGATTGCAATGGGTTTGCTGCCAACACTTTCCTGTGTTCCCACTTGCCCCTACAGCTTGAGGAGGTTGGACAGGTTCCTTTGCCATGATAGAAACAGTAAACAAGACCTTTGCCATGTCTCCTCCCCAGTACAGCATTGCCAGCACTGTGTGAGTCCCCAGCTGCAAGTGAAGAACTGGGGACCATGCAACCTGGTCCCTGTGGCAAAGGGGAGGTGACAGCAGGGAAGGTGCAGGCACTGTGCTCCACGTTCTCACATGGCAGCCCTGCACTCACCCTGAGCCTGTTGGGAAACTCCCAAGTCATGCTGGCTCCTCTGAAGAGCTCCTTTGGTTGCAGCTTAGGTTTACATGGAGCCATAGCTTGAGCTGGCAGGAGCATGAGGGATAGCAGATACCAGAGTTACTTGCACATGAAGCCCGAGCTGTTCCCCTTGGGAGGCACTGAGACCTGCAAGGAACCTGGGGCAGGCATTTATCACCTCCATTCCTGCTACCAGCACCCACTGCAAACCCCCAGCACCTCACAGCATGGCTCTGACCTCCCAGGGATGTGTGTTTTTCTCCTCATTTCCAGAAAAGTGGTTGCTATGGCAACGGAAAGGATTTACATTTTTAAATGCTTCCTCAAGAACATCCATTCAAGAGGCTGAGGATCAGGAGAACAGAGGGATGCGATGCAGCACGATGGCCCCACCATAGGACAAGAGCTTCAGAGCAAGCACAGGTGCCCATGCATGGACATTTGTATACAGGACTGCATCCCCAGCAGTGTAACCAGCAGCTCAGGGAGGTGATCCTGCCCCTCTACTCTGCTCTTGTGAGATCCCACTTGCAGCACTGTGTGCAGTTCTGGTGTCCTCAGCATAAGAAGCACTTGGAGCTGTTGGAGCAAGTCCAGAGGAGGCCACAAGAATGAGCAGGGGCTGGAGTACCTTCTAAGGCAGAAGCTCTTCCCTGTGAGGGTGCTGAGGCGCTGGCACAGGGTGCCCAGAGAAGCTGTGGCTGCCCCATCTGTGGCAGCGTTCAAGGCCAGGTTGGACACAGGGGCTTGGAGCAACCTGCTCTAGTGGATGGTGTCCCTGCCTGTGGCAGGGGGTTGGAACTGGATGAGCTTTAATGCCCCTTCCAACACAAACCAGCCTATGAATCTAAGTTTCTATGGACAGGCTGGAGTATAAGTGCCTCCTCTTCATGCTTCCTCTGCAAAGGCAGCTGCTTACACATGCATTGTGGTAAAGAACATCCAGGGAGAAAAGCTCTGTTACTGGCAGCTTATCAGGGAAAAAAACCAACCACAGAGTCTCTTTTCTTCACTACTTCTTCACAAGATACGAAAATGGAACCCACTGTTCTCTTCTAAATGGTCAAGGACATTCAGGCAGCATCCACCACGTCTCCTTCCCAAAAGAGACTTAGAGAAAGTCCTCTGAGGGATAACTAACTGCCTAACAGACAGGAAATGAGGATAAAAAGACGTGGAACATTTCCACCATGGAAGAAGATCATCTGTGAGATCTGTTCTTATGATCGCACTGCTCACTACAGAGTTACTCACAAGACAGCCACTCAAGCACGTGTTTGGATGCCTGGCCACCAGCAGAGAAGGGAAAGCTCCTAAATCCAAATGTCTTCATGGAAAGGTACTCCTCTGAGCTGCTGCCTGGATGGTGACATGGAGTAGCCACTTGCTCCCTGTGCCCACCTCTGCCTCAGTTTCCACATCCTACCTGCAGGATGAGAAGAGCATGCACAAAACAGGAGGTGGAAACCTTCCAGTGAAAGGGGAACAAAGTCACCCTGGGGACACCCAAAGTGGTCTGGGAGGGGAGACTCTGCTACCTCCTACCCAGCAAGGCAGAAAATGAAACCGTTGCCACGGTCTTCCCATGTTGGAGTTTTTCGAGGTTTTGCTGGGTCTGTGATTGAAGTAGGCAAGGATCCTGTTTACAGAAGGTGCTATAAAGAAAGGCAACATGGATTTCAAACAGCTCCTACCAGCAAAGAGTAGTTGGGGCAGAGCAGTGATATTAATGCGATATTAATCGCATGTCTGCAAAGCGCAGGCATGAGCATGCCCAAATTACAACACCAAGTGACAGTGCTGCCTACCCTCTGGCTTGGCATAATCTGTTCCCATCCAAAGGAGCCGTGTCGGAATTGCATCACAGGTACTTCATGACAAAAGGCAGAGAGGGCCCAGGGGCAGGAGGGAGCACTCTCAGGGTGGGTCTCTGCACCTTGCCTGCTATTTTAGTAAGAAAGGTTTGGTTAGATTCTGTCTTCTTTGCAAGCCAGAGATGGCAGCTAAGCTCTCCTTAAGCAAAGAACAGAAAGGGCAAGGAAAAACACTTTACCAGAGGACTTAGCTCTATGAAATGCATGTTCCAGTGGGATAAGGAGCTCAGAGAGATACTGAACCACCCCAACCTTGTGTAGGCAAGAGCTGAGGCTCTGCATCCTACTTGCAGCTCAGAGAAATACTGCACTGAAGTGTCTCTTTTCTTACGAGGAAGAACTCCCGTAGGTGTTCTTTGGACAGTTGCTGCAGTCCCTCTGGGACTGTCAGTCCAGAATCTGACACTGCTTTTAGGAGCAGAGCTCACAGAGATGTGATGGGGGACAGAGCCAAGCCAAGAGCCAACCCCTACCCCCCCCCCCCCCCATCCCCCATAACAGAGACTTGACTCTGAGGAGAAGCCCTCAATTTGGCTGAATGCCACTGGCAGGACTGAGCCTTGTGTGCCAGATGGGCTTGACACCCCTTCCTCCTCCCTTCTGTGAGCACACAGACATCATGATACTTTCTGTTGTAGCTACCAAACCATTCAATGCAGCTTCCCCTGCCTCTTTAACCAAATGCCATTAACAACAGTTTAAAAGAGGAAGAAACCTTCCCAATCCCACAGATTTAGATCCACTTAGGCCTCCCCATGAAGTTCAAGTGCTCCCCTATAATTATTATAGCCGCTAATGACTCGGCCAGTGACACAGAAAGCCTATGAGTCCTTTGGCAGTACCACAGTGGTCTCTGCAGCAGCTCAGCTTGATTTGAGAACCAGCAAAGCCAGGAACGATGCCAAAGAAAACCACTGTCACGAAGAGACCAGGGCTGCTGAGGACAAGGAGGAATCAGCTCAAGTGGTTGGTGGTGTGTAAGAGACATCCTACAGCAAGCCCAAGGCACTACCAAACTGCAACAGCAGCAGGGACCAGGCACAGGGTTAAAGAGAAGAGCATCTATTGCCTGTGGAACTAACCTACAATAAGGACATCCAGCCAGGGCTGAGCAGTGCCCTATCGGCATCACGAGCCTGAAGGCAGAAGCAAAACTGTGTGTGGATAGGCACAAGTGACGTGGTTTGTATTCAACCTGTGTGTGTATGTATTTGAATAAGTGATTCTCAACTGAGCCAAATGTACATGCCCATTATGCTGTGAGAGTTTAAAAGCAATTAGCAACACAAATCCTGGTGTGAACCCTGCTCTACGTTGTTCGTTTGGTTTTGCCTTTTTCTCCCCATCCATCACAGTACCCAGTAAGTAATTTCTTACAAGTCTTTCTTCCTGGCCTGAAGCTGGGATCTCACACAGCCTTTGCCCATGCATTAATCACTGTTCTTGTCACTCTCAGCCTGAGCCCCTGTTATCTCTGCTTTTCTGCCAGCAGCCAGAGATGAGAGGCTGTGCTTCCCCTGCTCCTGTGCTGCAGGACAGGGTGCTCCACACCAGACATATTCTGAAATGGGGATATCAGAGGAAAAAGGCAGACTCAGTGGCAGAGGAGATACGTGTTTGGAAACTGCATGCAAGCATGAGAGAGCTGGGCTGGTTCAGCCTGGAGAAGAGAAGGCTTCTTCAATGGAGACCTGAGAGCATCTCCAGTGCCTAAAGGGGCTACAGGAAACCTGGAGAGGGGCTTTGAACAAGAACCTTTAGGGACAGGACAAGGGGAATGGCTTTAACCTGCCAGAACAGGGGAGACTGAGATGAGCTCTTAGGCAGAAGCTCTTCCCTGTGAGGGTGCTGAGGCGCTGGCACAGGGTGCCCAGAGAAGCTGTGGCTGCCCCATCCTGAGTGAATCTTGGGGATGAGAAGCTGGAGAGGTGGGCATTTGTGTGGCCCAGAACCCGAGTCACAGAGCAGGCCAATCATGAGGAATCAAGCAGTGATGTGCTGCCATGGCAATACCAGGCCAGGATAAAAAGCTATTAGCAAGGCTTGTATAAGGTGGGTAATTAATACAGTCCTCCATGAGGGGGGGTTGTATGAGATTCTCAACCCCACTAATCATGCTAGCAGAGGAGAAGAGGCTGTGGTGGAAGCTGTCCAGGAGCTGCTGCTGGTCTTCACCAGCTCATCATCAGCAGGGCTGTCCCCCAGCAAATCCAAGCCAGACTGCACCAATGCTCACATAAAACACTCATGATCCATCGTGAATGGTGGGGTTTTGGTGTGAGAAGGGGGAAAGGGACTGGAGACAAGCTGTTAACTCTCACAGCAAGTGAGATGGTAACAGCTTTCAAAAGCTCTAGCAGCTGTGGTTCCAGCATCCTGAATGTTCCCAGAGGACAGGTGGCTTGTTGGAGGTTGGTTTTTGATTGTCCACAGTAAGCTGTTTGCTTCTTCTCGGTTTCCTGGCTTTAAGACATCCTTCTTGAGGCAGCAGGGCTGGTCACAGACCTTTCTGAAAGAGAAAGCAGGGATTCTTAGGCAATTGCATGATTTCAGAGCTGAGGCTTTAACTGAAAGCAGACAACGAGCTAGTGCTGTGGCCTGTTCGCAATGCTGGGGTTTGTTTCTGGAAGGGGCCTGCTATGGGGAGAAGAAATCTCCCTCTGCCAGCCAAGTCAGTTCCTCCAAATAAGCAAATTCCATTATTCAATCCCAGAATTGCCAGCCTGCAAACACAAGCGTTACCTGTGCTCTGCTCCGTATCCGCCTCCCACCCACCAGCTGTCTTGCTGGTGCACCTCCCATCCTGAGCCTGCTTCAGCAAAGGATGCTTTTCCTCCAGAACAGCTTCCCCCAAACACTGTCCTCCTCTCTGCTAAGGAATGGAGTCTGAGGATGGATTTCTTTGGAAGCTGGTGTTCCCCTGTTATCCAGGCTCCTGTTTTCACTCAGGCCTTTCCTTCTCGATCTGCAGAGATGGTCCCAAGCAAACTTGTCAGCAAGCCAGGTTTCTGCCCCATGCATTGGTTCCCCCATGCCAGAGAGGTTAGGGAAAGTGCAAGGATTAAGACAGGCTGACTAATGGCAACGCCAGGGACAAAAGCAATGGATTTACTAAATGAAGCAGAAATTCCTCCTGTTTTCTCTCCTGCTCTTGCTGGGAAGTATCTGCCTGCTCTCCTCCCAGCTTGTATCCAGAACCTTGCAGGAAATAAAACTGTTCAAATATAGTCTTTCTGGTTGCAGTAGTTTCTAACAGATCAAAACATTCTTTGGCCAGCAGCAGCACTTCTTCCTCCCCCCACATCTGGTATGGCAGGGGTTTATGAGCTATTCTTGATAGTGTTTTCTTCCCTCTCCTTTGACCCACCTCAGGTTCTCTACCATTAGAAATGCCTTGCCCTCTTAACACCAGCCTCCTCCCAGATGTATTTGGGGCAGAGCAAAGTAGTAGCTAATATCCTTGGGGAATGCCTGCATTCCCTCTGGCTCACTTTTCCAGGGCTCTCTGGAATCACCCTGCCAACCTGTGTGACCCCCACAGGCCATCAAGTCTTTCCAAGTACTTGCAGAAGAACTGGAAAGTTCATTTTAAAGGAAAAGCAGTGGGGTGGCTCACTCCCTGTGTGCTTCTTCCTCTGCAAAAGAAGCCATATGGCAGTGCTTAACTGCACTTACTGTGCTGGAATTATTTGGCCTTCTGGCTTCCTTCTCCAAGACTGCCCAACTGTGCAATTGCCACCAAGCTGCCACCTGCCTGCCTGGCAAGCACTGTCCCAGTCCCTGCCCTTGGAACTACTGCAGGCAGCTCCATTCCTGGGTGGCTGCAGAGTGCTGCCTTCATCTCACCTCATGTATTCCTGACCTCACCTCTGTCTGCATTAACTCCCTCAATATTTAGATTTATCTGATGTCCCTGAGGATCCTAGACCTTGGGCTGAACCAGGGCTCAGCACCTCACTGCTAATGGGACACACTGAGGGCTTGAGGTGAGGGTAGCTCCTAGGGCAGAAGCCACAGTGTCACAGTGACAATCACTGGAAAGCTTAGGAATGTTTTTCAGATCCCTTTCAACCTGCTACATCTCAGATTTATAGTGGACTGGCTCTATGTGACCTTCCAAAGAGCCATCAGGCAGGTATGTTGCTGCTGGTACCCTCCAAGACCCAGGCTCCTGGATAAGCTGTTCTGTAAAGCAGCATTTGGGGCCATCTGCTTCTCATCTGTCTTGGACCCCATGATGCTTAACAGTACTCTTGTTGTGTACCATTTGGGAACGATTTTTCCCTCAGTCTTGAGGGAAGTTACAGGTAGAAAAAAGCCTAACCAAAAAGCCAACAAACTTGACTGAATTTTGGGGAACACTGACGTCTGTTGCTTCCTCATCACACAGTGCCATGCCTGATGCCTGCACCTTAACTCAAACCATGCCAGCTCTGCCATAAAGGCTTCCTGTGGGAAGAAATGATGACATGACAAGACATCCCTTTTTGGAGCAAGAAACACTCCTTTTGAACGCAAGTCAGTGAGATTCTGGTGCTCGGGGATTGTCCTGTGTGCCAGGACCTTGCCAGAGTCCACCGAGTGCTTCTCATTCCCAGAACCACACAGAACCATGTGAAGAGCAGCTAGATCCAGCCATGTTTTTAGAGCTGAGTAGATGGAAACTGCGGGAAAGGAGAGCCTGATCTGCTCTGAAAAGAAATGCAAAACCAAAGAACATTTGAGGGGAAGCCCAGCAGTTCCTAAATCACAACAGCAGGATTCTGCCTTATGATACACAACAGCGTGAATGATAAAATCCAGGTCTCTGCTTTCCTAGCAAAGAGAAGACAGCCGGGAGGCTATTCAACATTAGAACCTAAGTTGGGAACAGGGTATGGGACCCTTCTGCTGTGCTGGGAGGAGCAGCAGGGGAAAACTAAATGATACCTACTGGAACTATATGGCTGGGTTAAACAGTACTAAGATTTAATATAAAAAAAAACATGTTTGATATTAAACTCACTATAGTTAGCAGGTGAGGCTCACTTCAGTCCTAGGAAAGAAGATCCACTGTGGGTTCACCTGCAACTTAAACAGATCACTTGACAAGTTAATCTAGATCCACTGTCCTAGGGCAGCCAGCCCTTGATTACCACATGGTGGATTGCACAAGCCTGACGAGACTGGGGTTCTTTGGCTCTGCTGTGCAGCTGGGTCAGCCCAGGCTCTGCCTCTGTGTCTGACGCATCCCCTCCAGTGCTGGCAGCCAAGCCCTGGTGCCCGTGGTGATAACACAGGCTGGACCTGGCAGAGAGGGGAGAGAAGAGCAGCAGCTTTAGCACCAGCTCAGCTGTTCGCATACTGCCTCCAGCAGCATTCACCCTCTTAATGCTCCTGCAAGCTCATACAAGCTTAGCTGGAGAGGAGGATGGGCTTCACACAGTTGGACCAGAGGCGTGTGCCAGGCAGCTCCAGCAGAGCAAATTGCCTTTTTCCTAGGCTTTGCTTGTGTCATTTGATTATCAGGACTCAAAACTCCTGTCCCAGACTTGTGGAGGGGTTACACACAGTCAGAGCACCTGAAGAGAAAGGAGTTGCTGCTACCACAGCACCTGACCCTCCAAAGAGGTGGCATTTCAGTCATGTTGTGCAGAATGTCTGCCAGGCACCATGCCCTAGGATCAGGGACTGGCTCAGAGACAATGCAAAAACAGCACCCATTAATTCCACTTGCTTTGTAAAAAAGTTGTATTTTTAGTGCTTATGAGTGGTGCCAGATTGGCAGTGTTATAAATAGAAGGTTGTATTTATCCTGCTGTCTAGGTACCACAGTGCTAAGTCAGTTTTACGACCTGAATAAATCCAGATTAGATTCTCTCAAGGATGCGTCACCACAGAAATAACATTTCCTCTTTGCATTCATATGCATGGATAAGGAGCACGGATTATGGCAAGGGAGGGGTGCTGCCCTCATAAGCCAGCCTGATGCTTTCTGATCTGCCTTGATGAGACGCAGGCTGACATTCAAACAAGACTGTGGATCCCAGCTTTAGCTCTCCAGGTCCTATCTAAAAGGTGATTCCATACCTTGCATTTTGGGGTAAAAAGCCTACGGCAGCACTGGCAGATGAGGCTAGGCCTCAACCTGGGACAGGGAGCATCACACTCTGTTCCTGGATGATGGCCAGAGCTCAGTTGGCAGATGAAGTTATAGAGTCCTTGCTGACATTGGCCATACCCACAGTGACAAAACACCAGGGTAGAATTAAGAAGGAGCTTTGCTTCTCTGCAAAAGTGAAAGAAAGGGAGACAGAAGGTAAAAAGAGTCCTATCTGGTAGAATAACTTACAGGGTATTGCTAAGGTGCTGCTTTTCTATCAAGCTGACTGCCAATAAGTATTAAAACTGAAGAATAATCCTTCCCCTCTTAAAAGAAACAGGAGAGAAGGTAACTCCCCCTCAATTCCCTTCCTTTTTTCCTTCACCTCCTGATGCTGCTTCATCAAATCCGTGGCAACATGTCAATTCCCAGCACAACAGGCACTTTCTAGTGGTCACACACCTCCCTCTTTGAACAGGCTGTGCTGCTCCCAGCACCAGGGGATGCTGAACTGCTCAGTAAATGCACCTCCTGCAAAAACCAGCCCTTCAGGATGCCTGCTCGCAAAAGTGACATCTCATTCCTTATGCTCCCATTTGAGCCTGTGTCCACCTGCAAAAACCCACACATGCAACATGCCTGAAGACTGACTGCTCTTCCTCTAGGCTCTCCTCTGCTGTCTATGGCTACCAAGCAGGAAAAGGCAAGGGAAAGGGACTGGTAGATTTCAGTTACCCTGAAATTACCTAGTTCCCTACCTGGGAAGCAGCCTGTCAGGCTGCTTTGGTGTCTGCAGTCTCCATTGGGAGCCCAGAGAGCAAATACACTGGGAAGCCAAGCATACCAAAGAGCATATGAATGACAGCAGCTGAAGGGTTTTGATCCTTTCACTCTCTGTGAGGTTTTTATAGTTCCACAAGCTGGAAGCCTGAGTGAGCACAAGCTGCTTGGCTTCACATGCAACGTTTTGTCTGGTCAGCTGCTTGGCAGGAGGGAGGGTGTTGGGTTTGGATGTACCACACTGCCTGCCTGCCCTAACTCTTGGTGAAAGCTTGCTTCTCCTCCTCATGTCAGAAAGGGGGTCTGGAGGGCTGGGGGTGCTTCAAGCCCACTGGAGCCCACTAAAAGAATGAAAAGTTGATTGTGGAGAGAACCACAGAATCACCAAATCAACCAGGTTGGAAAAGCCCTTTAAGCTCATCCAGTCCAACCATTCCCCAGCACTGCCAAGGCCACCACTAACCCATGGCACTGAGGCCTCATCTCCACGGTGTGTGAACACTTGCAGGGACGGTGACTCCAGCCCTGCCCTGGGCAGCCTGTTCCAATGCCTGAGCACCCTGTGGGGAAGGAATTGTTCCTCAGCTCCATCTAAACTTCCCCTGGTGCAGCCTGAGGCCATTTCCTCTTGTTCCATCCCTTGTTCCTTGGGAGCAGAGCCCAGCCATCCTCCCGTCAGGCAGTTGTAGGGAGTGATAAGGTCCCCCCTGAGCCTTCTCTTCTCCAGACTGAACCCCCAGGCCCCTCAGCCATTCCCCATTACACTTGTGCTCCAGGCCCTTCAATCCTTACCAGTTTTCTCAGATAGGCTCAATATCTGGGTCTAGAACAGCCACTGGAGAAGACTAAAAGATCGGCTGGTCTTGTGCTGCCCTTTGTGTGCACGGGAATGGAAGAAAAATGCAAAATGAATCAGGGTGTGAGGAAAAGGAAACCTAAAATAGTAATAATAAAATAAAAAGAAGTAAAAGGTACTCGTGCATAGCAAGATGAGAAGAACTAAAGCAAGTCTTAGTGGGAGTGTTATTTGCTTGACGTTGCTGTCTGATTTGAGACTCACATGCCTGAGCTCTAAACCCGCCATGGAGTCATCACAGAGTTGCAAACCCAGCCTGCACTGCTAAATGAGGATGTTGGTGAACTTCCCGGTATTCCCAAGTGTCACTGCTTAACTCACGTGCCAGGCTGGTGTGAGAGTTAGTCACGACTGCTTAAGGCATGGAGGCACCAGAGCTCCCTGGAGGATGACGATCCCATTTCACAGCAGCTCTTGAGGTTTCAAAATGAGTTTCCTCTGCCTGAAATGAAAGCAGCACAGAATTGTAGAATCACAGGATGGGTTGGGTTGAGGGGACCTCAAAGCTCATCCAGTTCCAATCCCCTGCCACAGACAGGGACACCTTCCACTACAGCAGGTTGCTCCAAGCCAAGAACTCATCTCAATTTCCCCTCTGGCAGGTTAAAGCCATTCCCCCTTGTCCTGTCCCTACAGGCCCTGATGAAGACAAAAAGATAAAAAGAGGGGGGTAATATGGGGAATTTTGTTGCAATGTCTATTTTGTGATTAAAAACTGACGCCTTTTCAGGACAGAGGGGATATTGTACTGCACAAGGCACTGGTCAGGAGGATGAGACACCCTGGAGGCATGGGAGTAGTTTGCTACCCCAGTAAGTTTGAACACACCAAGCTCAGCAGCAACACTGCTGTGTCTACACAGAGCCAGAGAGCCAGCATGAGGTTTGACATATAGCTCCTCCACTCTTCTTACTTGGAAAGGGAAGAAGTGGAATAAAGATTTGAAGCCACTCAAATAAAGCTATTAAGGATCTGGAAGGATTATTGGGCGTCCTGTGGCTTGCTAGCACCCTCATCTGGTCTGTCATCACTGTCAAAACCCTTCCAACCCACAGCCACCTCCTACCTTGCCTCTGGCGCTTGCCTCTCCTGCCTGCAGACAGCTCTCCTCTGCTCCTGACACGAAGAACCTCTCGCTGGAGGATATGGAAGTGAGTCTGTCATTCATTCTCCATGAGCTCTGCCTTGTGCCTGCAGTGGTCTCCTGGACAGTGGGCAGCAAATATATCCTGCAGGGTCTGGTCCATATTGTGCCCATCCAAGGCCAAGCAGCACCCTCAGCGGTGCCTGACCCTCTGGTTCCTGCTCCCCTCTGCACAGAGCAGAGCTCCCAGACATACACCAAAGGAGGAGCAAGAGGCTGGAAACCTGACAGCAAGCTGATGGTGTTGGCTTCACTTGGATCCCTCCATAAGCTGCCAGCTCTGCTAGACAGGAGGCTGCTCTCCCGTTTATTTAGTAATCCAAGTGAACGGCATCTTCTGGGAAGCCCATTTTCAATCATTTACCAAATGAGGTTACAACATTCAGGGGTTTGCCTGAGGATTCACATCATGCTGCTCACAGCACTATCAGAGCCTAGATGGAGTCAGGAGTGGATGGAAGGCCTTGCTGAAGAGGCAATCATTCCCCAGCTATGCATGATGTTAAAACAAGCTGCATGTAGAAAGGCAGCTGCTTCCCTTCTGCCATGCCCATCAGCTCATGGCATGAAGCCTCTGTGATCCTGTGTTCAGTGCTCTCAAGGGTTAATCCCCTCCAGAGGGAGCTGGGACTCTGCTCCACCAGTCTTTTATCATTGGGGCTGAGGACCAGCAAGTGAAGGAACAAAGCACACAACCCATGTTCTGGCTGCGAGACTTCTTCGTGCTTTCCTTTTCAGTGCAGAAGGAAGCTAAAGGGAACAGTACTTAAATGAGAAGCAGGGAGAGGGACAGGGAACATTGTGGCTGCAAAGACTCAACCTCCCATATGATTGCTGGGCATGTGGTGCCAGATAAATGTGCTCCTGTTAAATGTGGCACTCGCTGTGCTCACACAGCCCCACAGAGTGCTCTGGAAGCGGTCACAGCCTCAGATGAAGCAGTTTCATTACAAGATGCTGCAGGGTTAAGACTGAAACATTCTGTGCATGGTGGCTCAGGCTTGAAGGGCTGCTGCCAAGGCAGGGAAGGACACTGAATCAGAGTCATAGAATCAACCAGGTTGGAAAAGACCTTTAAGCTCATCAAGTCCAACTGCATTTAATCCATTTATTGCATTGTCCAGTGGAAAGACGACTCCTCTCCAGACCTGTGCTTCCTGCACAACAGCCATGCACTGCTTTAGACAAAGGCAGAAGAGTTTACAGCTTAGAGGAGCACCTCGTTCCATCTCATCTCACAGAGCCTTAATTGCACTCATGGGACTGTCCTCCACAATGCTGAGCTGAATCCTCCAACCCATGAGATGCAATAAAACAGCACTGAGTTTAGAGCAGAAGGAACATGGGATCCATCTTAGCTTTCTCATTTAAAATCCTTAAAGATGGACTCAAGTCATCTCTCAAGTTGACCACAGGTTATTTTCTTCCGTTGAAGCAAATTGCCCAACAGCCTTTTGCCACTGATATCCCTGGTAGGCAAAGCACACTGAGGTTCTGTGCCCTGCTGAAGGGCAGCTCCTCAGGCACAGCACAGCCCTGACCCTGGAATGGTTTTACACTGCTAATGAACACACTGAATCCCAGCCCAGAACCCAAACCAGCAGCCTCTGCTGGGAACAGCACCAGGATCTACAGCCAGCACTGAGCATTTTCAATTCCTCCCTCCAAAAATCATTGAATCATAGAACCCCAGCCTGGTTTGTGTTGGAAGGAACCTTAAAGCTCATCCAGTCCCAACCCCCTGTCACAGGCAGGGACACCTTCCACTAGAGCAGGTTGCTCCAAGCCCTGTCCAACCTGGCCTTGAACACTGCCAAGGACTTTGTGCCCTCTTTCTGGTCCTCAGACAAGAGAGATGGTCTCAGCACTGAGCAGAAGCTGGGAACCTGCCGCAGGTTCAGGGGTCCAGCCCTGTGGTGGGTGAATGCTCTGCCCAGGCATCATCCCCCTGCCCTCCAGCCTTGTGAGAAAGTGCTAACTCCTGTCTCCCCAACTCCATCCTTTGGCAGGGCTCCATCAAGAGCTGCAGTTTAGCACAACTAAATTGAAGCAGCCCCAAGAGTGTGCAGTTTATGTATTCCTACATCATTAAGCCTTCTCCTAGCGACAGTGTTTAAAAGGCACAGTGACGTCTCATTCCCCTCCCACTCCCCCCCGTTGCTGTTTGGCTCTTGAAAATTAAAAGATAAGCTTTGTAAATCTCCCAGAGAAGAGGGAACTGTCACTTCAGCTTTAGGAGAAAAGCCAGCAAAGAAACAAAATGCTGCTTTTGGCAGAGGAGAAAGAAAATCCATTCTGAAAGGCTTAGAGACAAAGGCTCTCAACACAATTAAAGGCAAACCTAAGACTTTGAAAGCAGAGGGCATGACACTGGAATACACACATGAGGTAGAGATGAAAGGCTTCATTGTGGCACTGTTGAAATAAAAGAAGTTTCAATGGCTGCATTTGCTAAACCAAAGGAGATGAGAAGCTTGCTAGAGAAGGGCTGGACTCTTCCCATGGGTATGCACAATGACAAGACCCGCTGTGCTCAGTCTTAATTAGGATCCTGGGGCAGTACTAGAATAGCTTGGGGAGAGAGGGTCACAACATTCAGGAATGGGAAAGAAAACAGGGCTCCGATATTTTCTGTGGGAACTTTTCCACCTGAGAAGCCTAAAATCTTCCTTTCCAGCCTGTTGAGCTGAAGCAAAAGGTGTTTTGATTTGTCATGTCAAGGTGTGTGCTTCACAGGACAGCTTGCTCCGGATGCAGCGCTGCATTGCAGGCATGAGGTGGCTTTCAGCCCAGCCATGGTCTGAAGAGGTGGCTGCCTCTAGAAAGCACTGAGCAGAGTAGTCCTGACTCTAAACTAAGAGCATCACAACCAAGGAGAACCACAACACACCACTGTTGGAGTGCTTGCTCCTAGCAGGCAGTGAAAACTGCCCCTTGCTCTCAAACCCTTTATCTCCAACCAGCAGCACCATGAGCCCCAAACATTCACTACAAGATACTCCCAACCAGTGTGCAAATGCCAGACTGCCAATCATGAAAGTCTGTGCTGGTAAGGGAGCAACACCATTCAGTTAAACCACAGTTTGGCCATCCACCCCCTGCTGTAACTGCCCAAAGCCAGCTCCGGCTTGACCCTAGAGAGTTGCACCATGCTGGAAAGGTGATGATTTCTGCTATCTTATCTATCCTATTCTCAATATAAGGAGGACATGGAGATGTTGGAGCAAGTCCAGAGGAAGCCACGAGGATGAGCAGGGGCTGGAGCAACTCCCTTATGGAGACAGGCTGAGAACACTGGGGCTGTTCAGCCTGGAGAAGAGAAGTTGTGCAGAGACTTCAGAGCAGCTCCCAGTGTCTGAAGGGGGCTATAAGGATGCAGAGAAAAACTCTTCATCAGGGACAGTAGCTACAGGACAAAGGGTAATTAATGGGTTAAAACTGAAACAGGGCAAGTTCAGGTTAGACATAAGGAAGAAGTTCTTCCCTGTGAGGCACTGGCACAGAGATTGCCCAGAGAAGCTGTGGCTGCCCCATCCCTGGCAGTGTTCAAGGCCAGGCTGGACACAGGGGCTGGGAGCAACCTGCTCTAGTGGAAGGTGTCCCTGTTTTCTGAAAAGCAGGGAAAAGAAAGCTCTGTAGACAGTTTTAGCTTCTTTCTTCTGTGTGTTTTCCATTGGTTGGTTTTGTCACCAAGGAGACCAAATTCCTACACATAAATCCACGTTTCTGTGCCAATGGCCATCACAGCACCATTACATAAGGCGCACGTTGTGCTTGTGAGCTATAGCTTTACTCACTGTATGGAGGATTTTCTGGGCTGTTATGTCCACCCAACATCCTTTAGGTCTGCTCGAAGCCCAGGTCCCCAGTACTGAGACAAGAAGTCACCTTGCACCTGAAGTTTCTTGCATGTTCCTCATATCCATGTAGACAGTCCTGCATAAAACACACCAGCACATTAGAGAGAGGAAAATAAACTCTAGTGTGCAAAAGGGGCTGAGGCACAAATTCATTCAGAAAATACCACCGACCCCACAGCACTTGGGTTCCTGTCCTCACTGAGGGAATAGCTCTCTCTACACTCCAATCCTGCTCTATCACTGATTTTTTTTCCCTCCCCCCTCTCAAAACAGCTCCTCAGAGCTCAGTTTTCAAAGCACTGAACAGGAGCACCATTTGATGGTGTTAATGGGAATTCTGTGCCCAGGATGCCTTTCAAGAGAGCACATGTGCTGAGTTTATATCAAGTCCCCCAGGACACAGCCTGTCTCATGTTGTTTGTGCAATGCCTGTCATGCTGACCTCCATCTCCATAGCAATCCACAGAAGCAAATACCTGACTAGAAAATGTGAGGCAGAGCTCCCCCTGCTCATCTCAGTGGGACAATGAGATGGACTGGGCAAGGCAATGTCCACTGTGGGCTGCTCAACTCATCTGGGGCAATGAAGTAGGTAACTGTGTCATAGAATCCCAGAACCCCAGACTGGTTTGGTTTGGGAGGTACCTTAAAGCTCAGCCAGTTCCAACCCCCTATAAAACGTCCCTTTATATTTAACAGCAGCTTTTGGAACAAGGAGCTAGATCTTGCCAACAGATCTGTGGAAGAGATCAGGGAATATCAATTCAGGTGGCTATCATGAAATTCAATCTGCACTTTTGGTACTAGAACCTCAGTGATTTATTCACGTGACAAGAAACCATTAAAGTTTTGCCTCTCACACTTTCTTGTACAGCATCCTAGAAAACCATCCAGCTTCAGGTTCTACAAGCAGTTGCAAATCGAATTCCTCAAAGCCAGAACTGTGTATCCAGCGTGGTCGATGGCCATGGGTCAAAGATTCTATAATGGCTTTCACAGCTGTGAAATCCCAGTGCAAGGCAAACCGACGTCAGATCACTTATATAAATGGTTACCTAATGCTATGTCTTCCTGTATCTGCATCACGGGGAACTGATACACAGCAGAGTAGGCTCCAGTAACACCTTGTGGAAGACTCATCAAGAGGAACTAAGAATCCTGAAGACATCAGAGGTGAAGGTGCTGCCTCTCTGAGCCCCCACAACCAGGCCCAAAGGAGCATCTGCGAGGAGGCCAGGCAGTGAGCTGGTGCACTATTGACAGACACCGCTCTATGCACTTCTTACTGTCTTCTAGATTTGACCCACCAACCTTTCAAAACACAGTCTGAACACATCTCCAAGGCTGTTTTTTTACATCAGCCCCACACTCTCCTGTTCTAGCATCAACAAAAACCCTGGTTCTCAAAGCAACAGCTGCTTTACATGATCTCAGTTTCAAGCCAGCTCCTTAACAGATACTTCCCTCCCCTTCTCCCCACTAATTTTAGCTGTGTTGCTGTTCCATCTGGTCCCCCTGTGCTTGGAGGATTGCCAGTACCTCCTAGGAAAAACAAAAAGCTCTCTTCGATTTGGGATTGTTGGGATAATGTGAGCAGAAGCGGTAGCATCTGCATCCATTTCCAGTTCCGACTCTGGACCATGCCAAGAAGCGGCAAGCAGCTATGAGGCTGAGCTCTTCCTCCGGTGGCAGTGCAGCATGGATGAGACAACTGCATGTTATGTCTAAGCATGTTTTCCCCATGGGTCAGTCTGAGGTACAGGCAGGGGCTGATGTCTACAGCAGAGAGAGAACTGAATCACAGAAACATAGAATGGTTTGGGTTGGAAAGGACCTTAAGATCATCCAGTTCCAATGCCCTGCCATGGGCAGGGACACCTTCCATTAGACCATGTCACCGTAGGCTCTGTCCAGCCTGGCCTTGGACACTGCCAGGGATGCAGCATTTATCACCTCTCTGGGCACCCTGTGCCAGTGCCTCCCCACCCTCACAGGGAAGAACTTCCTTATATTTAACCCGAACTTCCCCTGTGTTTCTGTTCCTAGATCACACAGTACATGAGCAGAGGTCCCACTTCCAGTAACCACTACTATGGGGAATCAGTAAGAGTTAGAAACTTACATTTCAGAGCTGTCAGACCAGACAAGCATCCTGGAAACCATCAGGAAGCCTGGTCCAGGATGAAGTAAAGGCTCTTGGGCACTTTGCATTGTTGCTGGTACTTCCGAGGAAAAGTTCCTTTGTTTTGAGGACAATAGATTGCCTGCCTCCAGGGATCCAAGTGTGGGTTCCTTTCTTCCCTGTGTTACAGCTCAGGAATGAAAAACAAAGAAGAAATTGAAGAAAGAAGCTACAAGTAACCCCAGGAAAGGGTGGGTTTGTGTTCCCCTGAGCGCAGGCTTTGTTTGGGCAATGAGGGCGATGTGAGGTTCTGACAAAGAGGCTTTTCCCTGGTGATATCAACCACCAACCTGCATGGGTCCAGCCTGCCTGGTAAAGACCTACTGCATATTAGTTAATTCCCTGTGATGCAGATACATGAAGACACAGCATTAGGTAACTATTTATATAAGTGACCTGACTTTGGCTTGCCTTGCACTGGGATTTCACAGCTGTGAAAGCCATTACAGAATCTTTGACCCTTGGCCATTGACCATACTGGATACACAGTTATGACTTTGAGGAATTAGATTTGCACCCGCTTGTAGAACCTGAAGCTGGATGGTTTTCTAGGATGCTTTACAAGAGGCAAAAATTTAAGAGTCTTGGTGTCTGGAGCTGCCCTGGTACCCCTATGGTAGGTGTGGGCTTGCTTGTTCACAAGCTACAGCTTGATGACACCCATCAAGCTGTATGGCCAGGGCTGCAGGGCCATCTCAGGGAACTGCAGCCCTGGAAGCAGTTATGAGCTAGCTCAGCTCTGTTCTCTGCTCCTGCAAGTGGGAGGAGCAAGCATCCAGCTCCTGTCCTGAACTGCCTAATCAGAAGAGACAGCAAAGAGATTCATGCTGACAGCATCTGTCTGAGAGCATGGCCATACCTGCAAGGGAAAAAGCTCTGCAGCACTTCTGAGCTCTGGGAAGGCAGGGGATGCCCTAGAAGGTGAGGAGGCAGCTGGCTTATGCCTATGAACAGCATCTTCCAAAGGGAGACCTCCTGCAGCAGGCAAATGACTTCCTCATTGAGATTTAGGTATCAGGCTCATTCAAAAGCAGAAGGAAGCCCAGGGACTTCCTAAGACCAGCAAAGAAAAGGATTACCTTGTGCTTGGAAACACAGTGACATAAGGTAGTCTTTCTTTAAAACCAATATCCCCCCCAACCCTTCCCCACTCACATTTTCAGGTCCAGTTTGAAGGGATTCACAGAATCCCAGCCTGGTTTGTGTTGGAAGGGACATTAAAGGTCATCCAGTTAAAACCTCTGCCACGGGCAGGGACAGTGAAGAAGCCACAGCTTGTGAAGCACTCAGCAGGTTCCTTGCCCTGTCCATTGCTCACCTCCAGTGTGTGCTCATGAGCAGAAGGGGGCAGGATGCCACTCTGCCACCTTCCCTGTGTAGGCCCAGCTTCCTCAGGAGCAGGAGTCACTTGAATTTTCAGCAGCTGGATAACAAAACTGCTGAACTTGTCCTGAACAAACTATTCCTTGAGGGTTTTGGCTGAACTGAGTTGTAAAGTGACTGCAGCAGGGCTGCAGGTATGGGTTTAGTGCAGAGAATTCAGATGGGCAGTCAGGCTTCTTACAAGGGGCAGATGAAAGCAAACTCACTAGTCAGAGAAATGAAACTCCTGATGCACCGGAACAGTGGGGGTTCTTGAAAGAGGGAGAGATTATGTCAGGAAACAGGAATGGAGGAGCTTAGCCTGAATATACATAGTTGGGTGAAACATGACAGAGGGACATGGGTGGTTATAATTGCAAAATCTAGTTGGCATGCTGAGAAGGTGCACGGCTCCAGATGCTAAATTCATGCTTCAATCTCAATGGCCAGACCCACAGCCTGCTGAAGGGAACAAAAAGGCTCATATTCACTTCCACAAGCCTTGGATCAGAGATGAAGTTTTAACAGCCCTTTGCACCACTGATAAATTGTTCATGGGAGTCAGTGAAATGAATTAGGAAGCTTTAGTTATGTTGCCTTTCTCCAAGAGAGAGGGAAGCATCTGAATAGTTTGGGGGTCTTGTGTCCTCTGTTGCCAGCAGTCCGGTTTAGCCGAGTTCAACACACAAGTTATGTCTGATCAACCATGCTGCTGTAACCTGGAACTCTGCTTCACTCTACCAGTGTGCTCCCTCACACTCAACACACTGCTTAAATCCATCAGGACAGAGCTATTTTCTGAGTGCCAATGCTTTTGCTCCTAGTTCACATGCACAGTGAAGCTCAACCATGGCTGACAGCAGAGTCACAGAGGCTGTTACACTCCATCTGCTTCCCTAATAACCACTCCAAACAGTCATTTATGAGGACTTTTGCCTTGGACTATTGCATTTCTTCAATATATGTATTCCTCCCTCACCTCAATAGCTGCATTACCTGCTTCCTTTTTTTTGCATCTTCTCTCAGGCATCCCTGCTGATGCAGAGGCTTTAGAGATGCTGGTGTGTCTCCAGCAGACTCACCCTTTTCCTGGGTATCCTCACCCAAGCACATAGCGGAGAGTTATTGGGTTTGGTTACACACAGGACATAGTAGAGGTGCTGTTCCAGCAAGATAACAGACTTACTATGGACCCAGAGGAGGTCATGGAGAAGCTGCAAGGGCTGGAGCAGCTCTGCTCTGGAGCCAGGCTGAGAGAGCTGGGCTGGTTCAGCCTGGAGAAGAGAAGGCTCCAGGGACATCTTAGAGAAGCTTTTCAGTACCTGAAGGAGGTGACAGGACAAGGAGGAATGGCTTTAACCTGCCAGAACAGGGGAGATGGAAATGAGCTCTTAGGCAGAAGCTCTTCCCTGTGAGGGTGCTGAGGCGCTGGCACAGGGTGCCCAGAGAAGCTGTGGCTGCCCCATCCCTGGCAGTGTTCACGGCCAGGTTGGACACAGGGGCTTGGAGCAACCTGATCTAGTGGAAGGTGTCCCTGCCCATGGCAGGGGTTGGAACTGGATGAGCTTTAAGGTCCCTTCCAACACTAACCATTCTGTGATCCTATGAAACAGATGTATCAGGGTGCTGACTGGCTCTCAAGAGCAGACCACACTGCCTACGTATAGGCAGCACTGGTTCAATATGCTGGAAGCAACATGGCTGCTCCCCCTTTTATGCCTTAGAAGCTACCTTAAAACTGTATCTTTGCTCCTGTCAAACTCTTTTATTCCCTCTGCCCTTCTCAGCAGGTATCTAGCACACCTTGCCCTTCTCTCATTAAGGTCCCTCGTTTATCCTGTGCCAGCCACTCTGACCTGTCCTTTGTGGTATCCCTGGATGTTATTTATGTGCCCAGGTGCTCCCTCCTTGTCTCACCTTGCAGGGAGGATTGATTCTTCTCTTCTACCATCTCCACAAGTCAAACCTTGACAGAGGCCACAAGAGAAGGAGCAGAGCTGAGGGTGTCTGCTGCACACACAGCAGTGCTGGGGGCTCACAGGGTGATAGCATGACAGCTACCCCAGCAAGGAGCAGCACTGAGTCCTGCTCCTGTTGGTTCTGCAGCTCCTCTGGACTGCAAATAGCATTAAAAAATGAAGTATATGCAGCATACAGGCACATTCCTACACCCATCCCTTGTTTGGAGGGTTGTGTCTGCCTTGCGTTCATGGCAGCTCCCTACAGACAACCTTAGGTCTTGGTCCAGTCTTTGACAACATCAACCTTTGGCTTGCTAGATCACCATGACACAAGTCATTATTCCAGGTTCCTCCTGCTTACACCTCACCCAAAAGCATACACTTGCACTGCACTCATCCAAACATTTTGCCTTCCTATGATCCATACCCAGCATCCACATGAACCAGATGCAGAAACGCAGCCCCAAATCATGCACAATGAGACATTCAAGCAGCAATGTCCATCAGGGCCACCCTTGCTGCCTGCCTTCTGCTGCTCAGGTGTACAAGCTAGAGCCCTCCTTCCCTTTGAGCCACCTTGGAATGTTCCTTCTGCTCCACATGAAGCATGACTCCTTAATAGATTAGCCTGGATCTGTCACTCAGTGAAGCAACACAGCAGGCAAACAGAAGGCCAATGCAGTTGTGCAGAGACAGACCCCAGCCTGTGCAGTGAGGAAGTAATCCTTCTTCTCTGTAGGACCCTGGTAATTGCATCTGGATTTCATTGAGCTCATGGCAGGCCATTCCCAGAAAGGCTGACAAACCCAAGCAAGCTCAAAGCTGATTAACAACACACAGCCAGGGTCTTGAGGGATTGATTTATGTGGAGAGATTCACAGAGCTCAGTAGGGCTTGCTCAGCCAAGTTATGATTAAAGGAGATAAGAGTCTGGAAATACCTGTGGGCTAAAAAACTGATGACCCATCATTGTGGGGCTGCCCAGAGGTTAACTTGAAAGCCTGAAGATAATGAAATACACCGTGTACCAGGAGGAGCCTGCACCAGGCTCAACCCTGCTGAGAACTGAACACACATGCAGCAGCACCCATGGGTCAGAACATGCCCCAGGGGACAAAGCAATAGGGCCAAGATGGGGAGGACCCCTTGAATGGTCCCAGAGGGGCTGTGGGTAGCCACTGGGGAGGGAAGGGTTGTCTTTTCCACTGAAGGGTGAGGAGAAGGGCATTGGCTGTCATGCAGCTCTGGGACAGACCATGACACTGGGGCTCTCCTTGCTTCTCCTCTTGGTGTGGTGTCCCCCCAATATGGCCAGCTGTAGACTGGTGCTGCCTGCTCCATTAGCATCAGCAAGGCTTGAGCTGGCCCAGCAGTGAAGACTGTGCAGCAACTGGACAATTCAGTTTGCAAAGTGATTCAGCGATATATTGATTTAACTCTCTGCAGACAAATGACCTCTCTCTGGGCTCCAGTCATCAGCATTAATATCTTAATAGATTTACTGTGTAGTCACTTCTCCACAGGGTGAGGGAAATGTGGGCAGCAATGGGGTGAGGCAGAAGGGGGCTTGGGCAAATCAACCCCATCCCTGGCAGTGTTCAAGGCCAGGCTGGATGGGGCTTGGAGCAACCTGGTCTAGTGGAAGGTGTCCCTGCCCATGTCAAGGGGCTGGAACTGGATGAACTTTAAGGTCCCTTCAACCCAAACCAGTCTGGGATGAACAGAGCACAGGCTGCAAGGTTGGGGTTTTCTGAAAGCAGGCAATGAAAAAAAGGGGTGTCAATATAAAGAGGCACCACTTCCTCCTGGTCTTCAATTAACATTTTCTTAACCACAGTCACAAGAGCAACCCACTTGGCTCAACTTCTCCAGCCTGCAGCTCAGAGGAGGATGAGGGACCAGGACTAAATGGTAGCAGACACCAACTGGACTGTGCAGGGGGCACAGCCAACAGCATCCTATGAGCTGGGTGAGGAACACACCTCACCCAGACAGCTCACAGGCTGTTGTTCAGCAGCACAAGAACCCTGCAGAGGGGGTCCTACATTAATGCAGAACATGTTTTCTTGTACACATACAACCAGCACACAAGCCATAAGCCAGGATCTAAGCTGTTATCAGTCATCACAGCCCTGGAGAAATCCATGCTGATTTACACCAGCTGAGAGCATGCAACTTCATACTGCAGGTATTTCATGACCACATAGCTGCTGTGACAGTTAAAGATGCCATCTTGTACCACAAGGGATCAGCTGTATCCCAAATCCAAACAGTCTGTATTATTCTCTGCATCAGTAACCTATTGCTTTTCACTATGAGCTTTCAGACACTATGATTTAGCTCTCTCTTGCCTCCTGCCAATCTATAACCAGGATAGTACAAGTGTTCTGCTCAGAGTAACTGTCATTAGGATACCACGTAGATGTGATACATCAGCCCAAACTCCCAGTCCAGCCCTGACTCTCACTACATAACCACACATACACATAATTATACACAATTACTCTTCCAAGGAGCCTATTTCCAAAGTAAAAAATAGATGTTTGGGTTTTTTCAGACTGCTCTTTCCTGGGCTCCCACAAGCCTCTTCTTTTCCCTGGGATCACTCAACCTTTTCTTCTCCGCACAATGGAAGGGATCCCAAGTTGCTTTTCTCCCCACTCCCCGAATAGGAATCTTCCACAAAAATGAGGTGTAGCTGAGACCTTCTAATGTAATAACCTTCATTTTTCAGCACATTTATGGGACTATCTGCTGCCAGGCTTGGCCATCAAGCAAATGAGCTTTGATGGAAGAATGAGGTGGGAGCTCTATAGTTATAGAAGCTCAAGTCACCTTGAGAGAGCTCTCTCCTAACCCTTTCCTTACATTGAACCAAATGCGTTTCCTCACACCCAGGAGAAAACACCACCATCCATCTCCATTACAAAGAATGCTACTTGGAATGTCCAAACTCCCTAAGATACTTGCAGCATCTCAAACCTGTTCAAGTCATCTCAGCTCTTTACCCAAAGCCAGTCTGTGTGTGAAGCACCAGCGCAACTTGTTGTCCAGCTCAAGAACAAGGCAGTGGGGCCAGGGAATCACACCTCTCACCTGCTCTCCTATGCAAACCTTCAAGGTTTGGAGGAGAGCTTTAATAACAAAGCAAAAAACCCAAACCTGAAGTGAGAGTCACAGATAACACCTATGGCTCCTTGGGAGTGACACAGACAGGTTGGAACAACAGCATTTTCACCTGTTACTCCAGCCTCATTCAAGGCTGCTGATAAGGCACCTACCCCACTCCAGGAGGTACAGGTAAAGCACTTTCATGACACAATTGCCCTGGATACACAACACCAGGAAGACTGCACTTGCTCACAGATTTCCAGGAAATAAGTCCATCAGCATATAAGAAACACTGGATTGAAAAGGAGAATGGGAGTTCAGAAGATTTCTTTTAAAGACAGCAATCAGAGAGAGCCATCTGAGCTGCAGAAGTTACTCAGTTTGCCCTTAGGCTTCAGTGAATGAGTAATTTTCCTTTTCTCTCAGTATTAATATCATTCTTTAGTGACTTCACCTTCTATTGTAGTTTCCCTTTCTCTGCATAGCCAGAAGGTGAAGTGGCAAGTACTGTTAACAGACAGGGTTTTAATACAGTAAAAGGGCTGGTGGTTCCCTGTCAGGTGTTTATTATGACATGTTCCTCCTGTGTCAGGCACTGGGAGTGGAAGGATCTTAGAATCATAGAACCAACTGGGTTGGAAAAGACATTTAGCTCATCAAGTCCAACCTTTACCCCAGCACTACCAGGTCCACCACTAACCCATGGCACTGAGGGCCTCATCTTCTCTGCTACTTTGGCTGGCAGGATGGAAGGAATGCAGGAGGGCTTCCCAGCAATTCCCATCAACTTCATCTTGCTGATGCTGGCCTTGTAACCCAAGGTCCAGCTAAAAGATTTTCCCATCTAGATTTCAAGCATGCTTGCTTCCAACCCGGTAACTTGAATCATAGAATCATAAGATAGTTTGGGTATGAAGGAACCTTCAAAGGTCATCTGGTGTAACCCCCTTAAATGTTGATAACTAGTCTAACCCCCTTAACCTTTCTAGTGAGGGTCAAGTACCAGAGCTGACACAGCCTCCAAGTAACTCTGATTGTTGCTCGAGGTGTTAACAGAGGTGCAGACTCCAGCTCTGGGTATTTTACAGCATCATCCCTCCCTTCCATGGCTGAGAGGTGTTTGCCTGCACTTTGGCTTCAAGCAGGCTAAATAACACAATAAGCTGATATGCAAAATGCGTGTCTAATCCTGGACAGTTTTCTCCAGCTGACTTTTAATGCAATGTGGTCTCCCTCCCTGCCAAGCCCCCTTTTAGGTTAACTTTGTTCTCTGCCTGACAGACTGAATCCCCTCATCAAACACATGTGAGAAGCTGCTGCTCTGTGGCAGCAAAGGAAAGGCATCCTAGAGAAACACACTTTCCCCTCCACATCCATGGCGTTCGCATGCAGAGCACCACCACAGCAGAGGGAGGCAGGGAGAAAGCTGAGCCCGTTGCTGGAGGAATCACTGGGCACTTAATTGCATGCACTGATTTATCCCACGTGCACACAAGTACAGCTCCTGCTTTGATGCACCCGCCCAAGAAAGCAGAGCAGATGTGCCTCATGTTCTGCAACCCGCATCGGGAAGCTTTCAACACCATGAGGCCCGCAGGCAGGGAAGAAAGCTGCCTTTGGCTGAGGATGAAGGCACCTTCTTGCTCTGGACAATGACAGCTGGACCCAGCTCACGTTCCCTTCAACTGCTCTGGTCTTTCAGTCCTTGCCTCTCTAGACAAAGCAGAGTCTGACCTTACTTGAGCAGTGACCGCTGTTCCTCCTTCCCCTGGAGATGAGACTCCCATTTAAACTCCCAGCCCAGAGAAGCTGTGGCTGCCCCATCCCTGGCAGTGTTCAAGGCCAGGTTGGACACAGGGGCTTGGAGCAACCTGCTCTAGTGGAAGGTGTCCCTGCACATGGCAGGAGGGTGGAACTAAGACTGACATAGTGTCACAGCCACAGCTCCTCTAGACCCTGCTGGTGGATGAAAGAAATCCTTTCTCTACATGGCTATGAGCTAAGGCAAACTCTGCTCCTCCCCATCAATGTTCAGAAGGGAGAGAACTATATTAAGTTTTGCAAGAAGGAGGATATTCCTTTTCCCCTGTTACTAAGACACTATTTCAGTATCTGGGGTGACAACACATGGGACATAGATATCAATGAAAACTTAGCTTCCCAAACTTTCTGCTTTGCTCAAAAAGGCATTTTCCACAGGGAGAAGATTCAGTTGACTCTAGCACAAGGTCTCACATGCACGCAATGTCCTTTCTAATGTTGACATCCCCTGATTCCACACACACAAGGCTGCAGACATGGATGAACAGAGGTGGATGGACTCAGCTGCACGTGCATGAAAGGAACTTAAGAGAAACATCTCACAAATAAGTATGCAGGTTCCTTCTTGCCCATCACATCACCTGAGCGCAGCCTTGCTCCCCACCTCCTGGCTACCCAGCTCACTGCAAGAGCCCCTGCAGTGGACTGATTCAAGAGAAGCAGGAGTTGGCTTTGCAAGAGTATTTCTGACAATGGCCCATCCTGATTTCCCCATCACTAGGTTGTAGTCCACTTGCCCCCTGTAACAGTTAAGGCTGCAAGTTCTCCAAGCCAGCCTACCTGAGCCCTCCAACACCAGATCCAGCTGTGGAACCCTCAGTCAAGACATGCTCACCTCAGCACCCAGATGTGCACTGCTCCAACTGCAATGCTATGGCTGCCCTCCTGGCCTCACAGAGCCACTGTAAGTGAAGGAGCAGAGCTTCTCACAGCACCAAGCAGAGGCAAGAAGAGATGTTCCAGGAGCTGCCATCAGAGTGCTGAGAAGTGGCTCAGGCACCAGTATGACTGCAAGCTCAAGACCTAGAGCCCATCTGACCTTATCTGCAGTGGATCTGTGGAGAGAAACACACGGGTTTGTATCTCAGAGGAGCAGAGAACAGGGGCTCCATCCCCTCTGTGCAGCCTGCTTGCAGCCTGGCTCTCTTTGAAACACAAAATACATGGCTGACCTTCATGTATAAGCATATGGACTCCTCTAAAAGTACTGTTTGGCCTGGCTTTTGCAAGAGTTTTAGTTACTGCACCAGCTTCATAACAGTTTTCTTTGGAGGGGAGAAATGCCTTGGTAACCTCCAGAGTAATTACAACGTTCAGCTTCCACGTCTTGCTTCCTAAAGGCCAAGGAAATTGCTAGGGGCAATAAATAGCAAAGGGTGGCCTGGCAGTCTGGTCCCCAGTGCAAAGTCCATCATTTGAAACTGGCAATGAGATGCTAATCTGCCTTTTTTTAAGGACCAAAGAACATGGATGCATTTGAAGTGGTTGTACTTAGAAGTCCCACACCAAACACAGCCCACTCTTTTCTTCAAGACAAGATCTTTTGGCTTTGATGTGTCCCTGAGAAGCTTCCTCCCAGCCACTGTTTCAGCTTGTGGGGGTAGGGGATCACTTGCTATCTCAAGAAGAAAAAGAATTGTCTAGGTCTGAGCTCTCTGTAACTAACCATACACTCACAGGACCATCCATGCTACACCTGTACATGCCTTAGTACAAGAGAGCTGCCCAGAAAGCTATACAGCTCCAGAGCCCACTTACCTGTGGGTTCCCAGATGCTGCTATATATAGCTCAATACAGGAGCAGCTCTCAGGGCACCCCTATTTTACAGAGAATGTGAAGGGCCAAGTGGGATTTCTCAACCTCTGCCTTACTCCTCCAGTTTCCAGCAGCACACCCTATCCATAATGCAAGGCTGGTTCCTCAGGAAGAATTAGGAAGCACCGGAGATTTCCTCAGCCACAAAATACTCTTTCCTCCATCATATTGTATCCCTGGGCTCCCAAGCAGGAAGATGCAGAGGCTGAGAAGCCCGCATGTGGTTTCCCATAACAAGCCTGGATTTCAGGCTGTGTACCCTGCAGCAGGTCAGAGAGCCCTGCCACATCTCCAAGCAGGAGCCATGTGTCCCCTTGTCACATAGCAATTCCCCAGTGTCAACAGGAATGGCCTGGATGATGTGCTTGGTGTTGAGGAAGGATTACACATGGTTGCTGGCAGGTATCAATACAGAGCAGCCATACAATTACTGAACAGGCTGCACTGTATGGCGCAGAAGAAATAAAAGATATTCACAAAGCCACTGGCAGCACAAAGAAAGCACTGAAAGGTGCCAAGTCAGAATACAGGCCCATGGAATTTGAACTTCCATTACAAAGGACCCCTCACCTTTCAGCAAGATAGCAGGATGAGCCAAGCAATTTGCTACCTTCGAGGTTCTCCTGCTTGAAGATGTGGTGGCCACTCAGGCTGGTCAGAAAGCAAATGCACTTAAGGACATATGCTTGAATAGCTTTACTGCTCTGCCACAAGGACTTCTTTTAAATCACCTCTTTTGGCTGGAAGCAGGCCTGAAAACATGAAGGTTGCTCTTGCCCGCCAGCCCTCTGTGGTTTAATGTCATGGGTTAGTGGTGGACTTAGCAATCCTGGGGTAAGGGTTGGACTTGATGATCTTAAAGGTCTTTTCCAACCTCACTGTATGGTGCCAGCACTTGTGCTGGGTGGGTTTGCTCCTCTTTCTGAGGAGAAGCAGGTGCTTTAGAGCATAGATATCTTCCTCTCTTTCTGTTAGCTAAGAACCACTTTCTTACCTTACTGAATGTGCATTCTGCCCCATCTCTGTTCCTTTTTTTCCCCCACTATTGGCCTAATTCCATCATCACTCATTCCTGCCAGAGGTCACAAATACAGGATGCAACAGCGAGCAGCATTCTTCACAGATCAATGTGGAGATTTCAGTGATTTGCTGTAACGTCTGACCATCTTACATTGCATGTTACCTGAGAAGTTTACACCAGTAAACACCTAGTAGTAAAAATAGCTAATACCAGTGAAGCACCAATAAGAGATCAAAACCCACAAGGAAAAGGCTAAACCATGCTCTGGTCTATGTGGAAAGGCTGGTCTGCCTTATAGACTTCCAAAAATGCAGCTTGTATTGAAAGTCTGACTGGGTTTAAAAATCACTTTAGTTGAATTAGTTTTAAGTA